TCGTTGTCGTCGACGCCCCGCAAGACCGCCTCTTTCATGCGTCATCCCAGTCGCCGTCGCATGTCGAGAGGCTGCACTCGACCACAGCGTCTCCGGAGGATTAGGACCGTCTGAAGTCGCAATGACCTCGCATACCGGCAGGTTGGTTTGAGAGGCTGGCAACGAGGTGGACAAAGCTGCCAGAAAGGACGGATCTCCTTCTGTAGGGTGCGCTAAAGAGGTTGCGTCCAGCCACGCTGGTCGGAGATGGATCTGCCCGTGATGGGGAGGCTGGAGGGCATCGTTCGGAGGATGCGGCTGACTAAGGGGATCCTTAACTTCTGCATTTTGCAGCCGTGACAGGAATCCACGCGAAAGCTGGCCATCTGAAGAGTGGCAGATCCGACAACTGGGATGATCGTATTTGCCTGGTGACAGATCCGGCAGGACTACATGGGCAGAAGAGCTAGTGGCCTCAAGAGGAGCTATACATTGTGAACTCAGTGGCTTAATGTGTGGCGGGGTAAGGTGGAGGGCTGCGATAACGAACAATGAGTTTATGTCAATGTGTGTGTGTACGTATGTGTATGCTTGTGTTCATTTATGAAACTGTGTAAATTCGTTTTGACATGAATAGGCCAAAGCGTGTCAGAGTCAATTTATGTGTTTTTTTCGCTCTCTCTCTCCATATATAAATATATATATAAATGGATATATATATATATTTATATGTGTGTGTGTGTGTGTGTGTGAATTTTCATTGAAGAAGATATGCATTTACGTGACCGGTAGCTGCGTGTGCCTTCATACATGTGTTGGTTAATTTCCAAGATTGTTTACATATGCCTATTTGTTAGTAGCTCTAAGCATGTATGCATGTGTTTGTATATTTTCGTTTGCAGTGGGTTAAATTTGCATGCGTGCACAGAGGCAGGGAAGGCGGAAAAAAAACAATAAGAGTAGACGGAACACGATGTATTCACTAGTTTAGGGAAATTGAAGCGTTATTCAACGACATCACGAGGCCTACTCACATGATTGTGTAAACATTCAACTAACAGAACTTCATTGTCTTATGTGATCTTGGTCGATTATAGAATCCCACAATATTTCAACGCCATAAAGAGGCAGTAATCTGATGAGGTAACAGGGTTCAGACAACCAACTATGATGACAACATGCCACCTTTTGGATCACAGACCATATGGGATTTCCAATGCAAGTTGATCTACTGATTAGAATTAGGCGAGCTCGAAACTGCGGTTCGCCCGGGATGGTGTGGATCTCCAAGAGACAACTCCAGGTGTCACTAACTCATTCGCAAGCTGATGCTTACTTATTCTAATTATTGGGTAGATTCGAAATGAGAAAACTGACGGTCCTGGAGGTGTAGACACCTCAAAGTTACAGAGTTATGGCCCTATGGAATTGGTTAACTTTAAAGGCGCAGAGTGATAATTATGGCCACAACAGCTTGTATTGGAAGTCACATCCGCTTTGAGAGCCACAGATACGCTCGCTGTATGGCAGAATGGTACTATGTCTTGGTTTGGCTTCCATAATCCTGTTTCGCATCATACTTATGTTTGCTAGTATGCATGTTTCTATATAATGTATGTAAGTATGTGTGTGTACTTACATGTAGATGCGTACGTGTATGTGTAAGAATGTATATATGTTGGTGTGTATTTTCTTATGAAATTGTATATAGACAATTATAGAACCAAATCTGGCAAAGGGTCTGGGACACTAACAACTTCTATATGAAGTGTATTTACCCTAAATCTTTTAAGGTGATAAGGGGACTAGTAGCTGAATTTCCCCATAATTATATGAATATATCTTATGTTTACATTGAATGTTATAAAGCATTGCTTTCCCAAAAGGTATTATCCTCCATGCTAGACTGCATTATCGCTGTACGTTCATGGTTCGAGTCCCGCTGGTGGTACAGATGAGACCCAGCACGCTAAACCTTATTAGCTGACGGCCATACGATTGGACTTTAGTTCTGGGAGAACGCTCAGATTGACACAATCCTCGAGAATCTGCACTTGGCTCAAATAAGAACGTGCTAGCCGTTGTATATCATAACGTTCGGCAGGCAATACCAGATCCGATATTTTTACTACCATTTCAAGCACACAAGGAGTCAGAAATAAATATATTTTGGAGACTACCAGTCGATCAAATATTTATCTATCTATATATGTATGTATGAGATATATTCACAAAATTTCGTTTATGGTGATGAAGGACTGGTAGAAGAATTTTCCCACAATGATATGAGTAGAGCTGATGTTTCCATTGAATTTC